CGCCTCCAGCCAACGGCCTGGCTCCTCCCCTCGCAGCCTTGGCCTCGTCCACGAAAAGGCAGCAGTGCCAGCGGGCTTCCCACTGGGACCGCACACTCACACTCACACTCACACTAACACTCACACCCCAGTCTCTCACACAGTCACACCTCACATATACTCACACTCACACTCACACACATTCACTCACACACCTCATAGTCACACACTCACACCTCAGTCACACACTCACACCTCAGTCACACACACATATATGTACTCACACACACCTCACACACATTCACACCTCACAGCCTCTCTCTCTCTCACACACATTCACTCACAGTCACATTCACACACACACACACACACACACACCTCACACTCACACACAATGTCCTGTTCCCAATTTATCACGCGATTTATTGTTAAAAACCCTGAGTTCCGGCCCCACGTCTGTGTGGCTCGCATGGGTCAGGTCTAAAGCAGTTCCCCTCCTCCAGTCTCGCCCCGACCTCTCCACCTGGAGGGGTGCCCTCATGGGGACCCAGCACTGCTCACCGTGGGGGCCCGTAGGACTGAGGGCACTTTAGCAGAGCCCCCTCCCCCCTGCAGCCCAGGCTTTGTCCTCCCCTGGCTCCCCTCCCCCCCCAACATCAGGGCCCTTCCCGGGGTCTGATGCCAACGTGGGTGCGGGGACAGCTGGAGGGGAGGCGGGGCGGTGAGGACGGGGACTGCGGACAGCTTCCTCTCTGGGGGGGGTGGCTCCATGCAGGGGGAGGGCTGTGGGGTGGGGAAGGCGTGAGACCATCAGATCCTGGCAATCTGGGCGGCTCTGAATTGAGAACAGACTAGTTAAAGGGACAGGAAGGTTTGTGGTGGAAAGTGCACTTGCTTTTGGTTGGAAAGATGTCCACGATGGGCGGCGGGAAACTCAGAGTCCAGTCCTCAAACACAACAGCGCGCGCGCCTGTTTTCTGGGTTAGAGGCAGAAATAGCACAGCTCCGAGCCGCGGGAACCTCTCGTCCTGCAACGCCCTCTGGGTGCCTGCGGGCCTCCCTCTTTGGAGCGAATCAAGGAAAGAGAAAAACGAATCTGCTCTAAGGAGGACAGTATGGCAAACGTGATGACGAATGTCACCTGGCAGATGGGCCATGTCACCCAGAGTCAGAGGACAATAGGGAAGGGTGGGGCCTGCGGCAAACCGGGGCCTGCGTGCCCTGCCCGAGGGGTGGACGCTGCCCAGCACGGGCCGCCTGCAGCCGCAAGGGCATATGGTGCTCCTGGGTGTCTGACACAGGCCACGGGTCTGTTTTTTCTGTTACTGTGGCATCTCCTAATTCAAATTTAAGACAATTTAAAAATATGTGCAGCCCAAAGAACATGGACTGGGAGTTGCCTGGGGTCCGAGATGTGCCGGTTTGTACTCTGCTCTGAGCGGAGACCTTGCTGTGTCTGCTTGTCCGGCCTGTTGTCAGGTGAGGACCCCACCGGTGAGCAGAGGACGCCGGGGCCTGTCCCCCCCACTCCCCCCCGCCCCCCGCCCAGGTGCTCCCAGTGGAGGAGGCCGACCAGGAAGGGTCCTGGGGGCGTGGTCGGGGCCTCAGGGGCTCCCCCCAGCTCATCAGGAGCCCCCACGTGCCCCAGGACCGCAGGAAGCAGACTCGTCACTCCAGGCAGCGCCTCGCTCCTGGCAGAGGTTGGCACATAGATGGCACAGAGGTTGGCGCAAGCAGCCTTCCTGGCATAAAGTTGCATTTCCCCGGGACTGCCGAATCTAGTCGCATGCATCCCAGCTGCCGCTCTGCCAGCCACCACGGGGTCCAGCCCCCCGGGAGTGTCGGAGGGCGAGTCCGGCCTCGACTCTCGAACCTGGCCAGGGACGCCGTCCCCTTGCTGGCTCCTCGGGTCCGGGCCCTCCAGGCAGCTGCCAGCCCACTGCTGCCAGGGCACTTGGCCAGGAGAAGAGCCAGGGAGTCTGCCTGGCCAGTGTGCTCAGCAGTTAGAGCCTCAGCCTGCATACCAAACGGCTGTGGGTTCGAGTCCTTCTCTCATCCTGTTACTTTCAACCTCTTTGTGTCTTTTTGGCCCCCCTCCCCTCCCCCGTCAACGCGGAAGGCTGGAGGGCGAGCCCGTGTCGGAGGTCGGGCCAGGGAGCTGGCTGGGGCCTGGGGCTGCCTGATGCTGTCCCAGGGTGTCCTGGTCCCAGGGAGCCTCTCGTCTCTCTGCAGTGACGGTGCCCCTCGGCCGCGAGCCCAGGGCTCCGGACCGCCAGCAGGATGGTGGGCGAAGGCCCCTACCTCATCTCCGACCTGGACAAGCGGAGCCGGCGGCGGCGGTCCTTTGCAGAGAGATACGACCCCAGCCTGAAGACCATGATCCCCATGCGGCCGTATGCGAGGTAAGCGAGGAGGATGGGGAGGGCAGGGCAGGCTGCCAAGAGTCGTTTCTGGTCCATCAGGAGAGTGGGCACTGCCCCTGCTCCCCATGCTGGGCTCTGTATGCTTGTCTTTTTGTCTCCCCATCCATCCTCCCATCCATCCACCCATCCACCATCCATCCACCCATCCATCTTACATCCACCCTCCCATCCATCCATCCTCCCATCCATCCACCCATCCACCATCCATCCACCCATCCATCTTACATCCACCCTCCCATCCATCCATCCTCCCATCCATCCACCCACTCATCCATCATCCATCTATCCTCCAACTGTCCACTGATCCATCTTCTGTCCACTCATCCATCATCCACCCATCTACCCACCCATCATCCATCTATCCATCCATCCTCCATTTGTCCACTTATCCATCTATCTGTCCACACATCCATCATCCATCCATCCTCCAATTGTCCACTCATCCATCCCATCCCATCCCATCCCATCCATCCATCCACATCCACCTATCCGATTCATCCATCCACCCATCCATCTATCCATCCATCCTCCAATTGTCCACTCACCCATCTACCTGTCCACTCATCCATCATCCATCCATCTACCCACCCATCATCCATCCATCCACCCATCCATCTATCCATCCATCCACCTATCCATCTATCCATCCATCTTCCAATTGTCCACTCACCCATCTACCTGTCCACCCATCCATCATCCATCCATCCTCCATTTATCCACTCACCCATCTATCTGCCCACCCCTCCATCATCCACCCATCCATCATCTGTCTGCCCACCCACCCTCCCATCCACCCATCAAGGCATCCACCGTTACTCATTGGTGGAGCCCTCACTCCTTGATGCCCCCGTCCTTGGGTGAGCGGGAGACACAGTGGCTGTTCAGGAGGTGCTCACAGCTCCCGGTCACACACGGGACTCACATAATCCAAAGAGCAGAGATGCTGGTAACATCCAAACAACGATTAGGAGGTGATGCCTTCCCGGTACTCACTGCCTTTATCTGTAAGGTGACTGATGGAAATGGATGTCACGTGGCTTCTAATACCGTCTATGTAACAGCCGACCTGCATGACTCCTGGAAGGCTCACAATCGGCTCCCGCGGGCTGGTCCGATCACACTGCTGCTCAGAGGACTGCTGGGCGCGCCCACGGCTCTGAGCACGGCCGTGGGCACCGCCCTGGTCAGGAATGTACGCCAGGGGCTGAGGGCCACGGCCCGGCGTCCGAGAACATGGTGCCTCTGTTGTCCTAGGCTGGCGTCCAACCCCATGGACGACGCAGGGCTGCTCTCCTTCGCCATGTTTTCCTGGTTCACGCCGCTGATGGTGAAAGGCTACAGGCACACGCTGACGGTGGACACTCTGCCCCCGCTGTCGCCGTACGACTCCTCCGACACCAACGCCCAACGGTACCAGGACTCCCCGGGTCACCTCAGGAGAGGAGCGCGCCGGGAAGGGGGCCGGGAGCCCCCTCGGGAGTTCCATTTCCCGGGCGTGGACACCGGCACCCACGGGTCCTGGTGGCCCTTCTCGGTGGCTGAGACGTGGGCCGCACTGCCTGACTTGGTCCAGTGTCTCAGGAGGGGAGGACTGGGGAGAGCCGGTGGGGAGACAGGACGGCCTGGGAGCTGCGGCCCGAGGCTCCGGCCACGTGGCTGGCTGTCCGCGGGGCTACAGGGGCCCTGGCTCGGGACAAGAGCGGCCAGCATCCCGCTGTGCTGTGCTGGGAGACCCCATCGGGCCGCTGCATGGGACCTGCTGTCTAAATCACCTTCTAAAGCTGCATCCTATTTTTAAAAAGTATGTTTTCATTGATCTCAGAGAGAGAAAGGGAGAGGGGAGAGTGAGAGAAACATCAATGATGAGAGAGAATCATGGAGCGGCTGCCTCCTGCACGCCCCACACTGGGGATCAAGCCCACAACCTGGGCTGTGCCCTGACTGGGGCTCGAACTGAGACCTCCTGGGTCATAGGTCGACGCTCAACCACTCAGCCCCGCCGGCCGGAGCAAAGCTATATTCTTGATCCTCGACCCCATTAATAAATCTCCCCAAACTCCGTCACACCGTTGGCCAACGCAGAAAACTGGGCTCCTTGGGCCCGGCTCACCACCGCCCCTCGCCCCCGCCCCCCGTCCGCTCCACACTCACGTCAGTTCATCAGTAGGGACTGTGGTCCTCTCTCCGTCCGTCTTCCCTCAAACCCATTTCCCTCCGCCCAGTGTCAGCTACGCTCACCTGGACACCCCCTTTCTTACCGGTCTCGCCGCGCCTGCCTTTTCTTCCCCACCACCCACTCCCCCGCCGGCAGCCAGAACCAGGTTTTAGATACGAAGCATCTTGGTGTCAGGTGGCGGCTGCAAAGCCCTCAGCAGCGTCCTTGGCCCTGGAGTGAGATCTGAGCCCCTTTCCTGTGAGCTCTGCCCTCGGGCGCCGTGCCAGCCGGCCCCTCCCGCACCACCCGTCACTGTCGTCCTTTCTTGTGTTTGACACGGACAAACTCCTCCCCACCCCGGAGAAGGGTGTGCCCTGGATTTCATCAGGGCTGGGATTGTGCGCAGACGTGGGCAGTGGGGGCAGGGAGCGGGGGCGCGGAGGGCGCCCATGCCAGGCGGCAGTGTGTGGCGCCCAGGCCTCTCTCCGGCCCCGCCCACATCCCAGCCGCCCTGTCAGGGGAGACGGAGCGTCAGTGCGGCTGGTCCAGAGCCACCTCTGCCAGGGGAGGGTCCTGCGATGCATGCTTTCTTCTATTTATTTATTATTATTTTTTAATCCTCACCCGAGGATATTTTTCCAATGATTTTTAGATGGAAGGGAGCGGGGAGAAAGAAAGAGAGAGAGAGAAAAAAAAACATCGATGTGAGAGAGACACATTGATTGGCTGCCTCCCACATGAGCCTGGGATGGAGCCTGCAACTGAGGTATGTGCCCTTGACCGCAATTGAACCTGGGTCCTCCAGTCCGCAGACTGGTGCTCTACCCACTGATCCACCCGGCCAGGGTCTGCCACGCACCCTGTAGAGATTCGCCCACCGAGAGGGGCTCCGGGCAGCCAGCGGACACCGAAGGCCCTTTCTTCCTCCTCCTCCTCTTCCCTCACAGGTTCCGCGTGCTCTGGGACAAGGAGGTGGCGAGGGTGGGCCCCGAGAAGGCCTCCTTGGGCCGAGTGGTCTGGCAGTTTCAGAGGACACGGGTCCTGATGGACACGGTGGTCAACATCCTGTGCGTCGTCATGGCCGCCATCGGGCCGGTGAGCGGTGCCCTCTGCCTGGTCCCCGGGCCCGACCGAGAGGGAATCATCAGCTCCTTCCTCTGCGACATTGCCCTGATCTCTGAGCTCCTGGGGGGCGAATTTCCATCAGGCGAATCCTCGCCACGCACAGCGGCAGCTGCCGAAATTAATTAAAAAGTTTGCCTCCTGGAGCCGGTGGGGACATCATGGGGGCCGCCCGCCTGTCCTCACCCAGCGGTCCTCTCCTCTCCCCCCTCCCCTCGCTGTTCTGCAGATGGTCCTCATCCACCAGATCCTCCGGCAGACGGAGAGCGCCGCCCGCAGCGTCTGGGTTGGCGTCGGCCTGTGCGCGGCCCTCTTTGCCACCGAGTTCACCAAAGTCCTCTTTTGGGCCCTGGCCTGGGCCATCAACTACCGCACGGCGATCCGGCTGAAAGTGGCCGTGTCCACCCTGGTGTTCGAGAATCTGGTGTCCTTCAA